GATATTATCGATTTCCATTACAGCCACTTACTACACAGTCATATAAAGGGGGAGGAGCGCGGACTCCTTTCCCGAACAGCGGCTGGTAGTCGAGCCTTAGTGATACCAAAATGAGATAGAGTGTTCATGTTTTATCATTGCTGAGAAAGAACGTGAGCTGCTGAAGACGGTAGTTTGTCAGTGTTCAGTCCTCTTCGTTATTAAGTTACCCAAGCCTGACCAGCTGTACAGGCTATGACGACCTCGTCGCATGATAAAAGGGAGGCAATTTCGGCCACAAGCTGTCAAAACATCACGATTTCTTGAACGCCTTCAGCTATGCTATAACTCTTTAAAAGAAGTCGACCGTAAAAAAAAGTACTTTGCCGTCGTAATAGATTAACTATGACTTACAATTTCGTTGTTGGAGCCGACAGATACAACTTTTTTTCATAACTTGGGAGTAAACCGAACGCTGTTTTAGCAAAACGTTTTAAAACTATTTTCGTTTATAAATATATCAGACAAACAGGATGTTTTGCCAATTGCGCCGAGAAGAAATTGCTCGCTTTGACATTTAGCTGTATTGTTATGCAAAAGATTATGGTAAATTCGTAATGAACCTGCCAATATGCAGAATAGCCGTCGAAGCTTCTCGCTACAATCGGCACTCGCAGCAACTCGGCGAAACAGTGATGGCGGTCTATGCGGTCTTGATAATCTTCCTGGTCTCATATGTTGTTAATAAGATCGATGCAACCTCGTATGCAAGTCTTAGCTCCGCCGATGAAAACTTCAAGCTACAATGGACCTACAATAGCAGCAAGTTTATATTCAAGATGACTTGCAAAACCACAGGCTGGTGTGCTGTGGGATTCACCACCACTGCTGATGGAAGAGGCATGGTCGATTACGATATAGCGGTTGCTGGGTACGCTTCTAGTGCGGGTTATATTGATGTAAGTTGTATTTTCGTTTTTATATACGTTTTTAGCAGAGGTAATTTCGTAAGATGTTTTAGCAAGCCTCTCGCTTCGAACATGCATTCAAACTCAGCCCCTTAAACACACGGCCGGCCGACGTTTATTTAAGAACGTTGACTTTTAATTCAAGAACGTATGATGAACCAATGTGACCGTCTTCACCTTTAGCGAAAAATGTTTTAGTATCTGGTTAGGTGTAGAGTGCTTTGCACCATTTTTTCTTTTTTCCGTGAAAAAGTAGCTGTTTGCAGTTCCTATCAAACTTAAGCGTCAAATTCTTCTCATGTCGTTTTATCATTGGCAACACTTCACTATGGGATTGACGACTAGAAGTATATTCGCAACTTACACGAAAGGACACGGTTTTTGTTATTGTTTAGATTTTCTTGTGGTCGTTAAGAATTCACGTAATCTGGGATTAAATTCTGCCAAAACATGACCGCATTATCTTCATACGCTATCCGAAAAACACTTTTTTATAATTACGGGAGAATTTAGTTCCTCATTCTTAAATTGAAAACACGTTTGTTAAATGCAGTTTATGTAATATTAGCAGCTTGCATCTCCGCACACAGGGCTACAAAACAATAATGCAGTTTTCCGTGGTTCCTTGTTAAGAAAAACAATGGATTACCATTGGAATTAAAAACAAAACATGAAATTAAAAAAAAAGAAAGAAACAGACAAAATTAACGGTCTCAGTCGATCAGTCACGAAACTACGCTTCGATCACTTTGCCTTCCAAAAACCATCGCTACCCTGTAGTTTTCACATTACAAAATCTTGCAACCACTTTGCAACCTCAGACATCATTTTTTCTCGACTGGAACTCTTCGTACATAAACCTCGCCTGGAAACCGCGACGTCAAATCGGCGCGAAAAATTTGCATACTAGTAATTCACATGCACAGCTATTTTTAGTGTTGCTCTGAATGGACACGGAAGATTGTCTGCGCGAGTTCGAGACAAATTTCATCACGTACACCGCCGAATTGATTGCGTTGTAGATGAACAAAATTGTCATCATACACGACTGCGTTATGCAAGGACATCGCATCTTAATGGTGCCGGTCTTGCATTCAAATTTTGCGAAGTCGTTAGAAAATGCACGGGTAACGTACATAAATGAAGGGTGCGTTCCTTCAGGATGATCTGTATCAGGATCAGTGATCCAAGATCACTCGGATCATGGTGCATCAATGGAACCGATGAATCCACTCTGGTCACGGATTCATTGGTTCCTTTGGTGCACCATGATCTGAGTGATCTTGGATCACTGATCCGGATCCAGATCAGATTTCAGGCTAAATCGCTCTTGGTCACTCAATACTCAGAATTCAAATTAATTGTTACAAATTAACGCGATTGTTTTCTGAATTGTCCTGTAGGATCGTTGGAGTACCTCGACAACCCTGCCTTCAAATGATACAGAGCAAAACTTCAACCTCATGATGGCAAGTGAACAGGACGGACAGACCATGGTGGAGTTTTCCAGAGACGCGCTTACAGGCGACACTGCCAATGATGTGCAGTTTAAG